GCCAAACCCAAAGCAGCCTGGGACGTTTCAGGCTGGCACCACCTCCTCTGGGTGTCTCTGAGGCCATCCAGAGGCCAGAGCCCAGGCCGATTAACTGCAAAGTCAAGAGAGGACCACAGAGTTTGGAACTGTGTGCGGACCGCTTGCAGCGCAGAGGGCGGGAGGGAGGAAAGGGAGGAGGGCTTAGGGAGCTGAGGCCCCACCTTTCATTCCAGCAAAGTGCACCAGCGGAGCAGGGATGAGTCACAGGCACTGGAGCTCAGGTTCCCATAGGTGAGGGACTGGCTCTTCTCTCTGGGAAAACGAGGTGCCAGTTCTTACTGGAGCGGCCTTGGCAGGGTGTTGGAGCCCTCGGTCTGCCCGGTCTGGTCTCTGGGGCCAGGGCTGGGTTCCCTCATGTATGGCAAGAGCACTTCGCGTGCTGGGCTGCTTCTCCTTGGTGTGCAGCTCACAGGTAAGGGCTGCGGGGAGGGGTGGGGGTGGGGGGGGTCCCTCGCCATTTCCTCCTTCACTGCCGACCCTGTAATGTGGTCACAAGAGTGTTGCTTGGAAGCCTGAGCCACGGTTGCCGTTCACTTTAGGTGTTGACTTTGCTGAAACCGAAGTTGGTGGGTTGTTTTTGGAGAACTGATTTTGGACAAACAGGTTTAGGTGTGTTTGGGCTGCTAGTGATTCAGGCACAGAGAGGGCTTTCTAATCTCAGGTTACAAACCATTTTTTTTTTCCTTTTTTTTTTTTTTTTTTTTGTGGCTACTCTCAACCTCCCACTGCAGGCAGGATCAGGTGCTTGGATTTCTGTGCGTCTTGTCTGGGACTCTCAGCAGCCCTGGGAAAGCTGAGAAACTAAAGGAGAGAGACCCACGGTGATTTTGAAACTGCCCCAATATGCACATTCTAAATGTAAATATCCTGGTTAAAAAAAAAGCGCCACGTGGTGTAAAGGTTCCAGGGGTGCAGACAAACAGAAGCTGTCCGGGCTTAATTAATTTCAATTTCTGCAGAAGATTGGGGACAGTATGAAATCAAGGACCCTTTCTGGACAACTTGCCTTCTAGGGGACCATTATACACACAATACATAATGCTTCATCTGAATACATGTCTAATCCATGCTACGATTAGTTTTTATTTTTGTTTGTGCTTTCAATTGTATCTGCCGACGTTTGTAGCTGGTTCCAACAGTGTGGGAGCGGGGACCGTGAGGCTAGGGTATTGCACTGTGGAGGAAGTTGAGAGCACCGAGAAGGCTCGCCATGTGGTATTCTGAGTCACGGTTGCACGTAAGTGGGAGCATGCAGGCTTAGGATGGAGGAAGTTTGAGAGCCGGGACATTGACTTCATTACAAGACTCACGCAGACATTTATTTTGGCCGTGTTGGCAGAAATTCTCTTAATCTGCATCTTCCTTTCTCCTTTTCTCTGGTAGCCCTTTGGCCTATAGCAGCTGTGGAAATTTACACCTCCCAAGTGCTGGAGGCTGTCAACGGGACAGATGTTCGGTTAAAATGCACTTTCTCCAGCTTTGCCCCTGTGGGTGATGCGCTAACCGTGACCTGGAACTTCCGTCCTCGAGATGGGGGCCCCGAGCAGTTTGTAAGTAGATGATTGTCATAGGCCCGGGGACCCCTGGTTGGGGAGACAAGCCGGTCCATTTCTCCTTGCCCTGCCTGTGTTTTTTTCTCAGCAATAAGCACAGGGTAAAGCTGAGACACGATTCTTGGCAGAGAATGACTGGCAGAGTTGAGAGGTCCATCAAGGGGAAAGCAAGAGGTTCTTGGGAGAGAGCTGCATGTGGGGCAGTGAGGCTGGCTCCCCTCTCTCAGCCTCCGTGCCCTGGCGCTGAATAATAAGACTTTTGGCCGCTTCTGCCTTGTAGGTATTCTACTACCATGTGGATCCCTTCAAACCCATGAGTGGGCGTTTCAAGGATCGAGTGGTCTGGGACGGGAACCCTGAGCGGTACGACGTCTCCATCATCCTCTGGAAGCTGCAGTTTGACGACAATGGGACATACACCTGCCAAGTGAAGAACCCGCCTGACGTTGATGGGCTGATAGGGGAGATTCGGCTGAGCGTCGTGCACACTGGTAGGTCACACAGGGGAAAAGGGTTTTGGGAAGCTTGAGAGCTTGTAGAAAGGAGAGGGGTGGTCTTTTGTGACGGCTGAAAGAGTAGCGAGAAGGGCTAGCCCTTCGGGTCTGGAATCTACAGAGGGAGACTGAAGAGTCCTGGGGTAAAAAGAGAAAGGCTTTGTTTGTCTGTGGAAAGAAACAGAAAGTTAAGCAAGTGGACTGCGGAATCTGTTACAGAAGTGGCATTGAGATTGTAAAAGGGAGAGGAAGCAGTTCTCTGATAAAAGGCCAACAATAGATCTGTTCATTCACTCATTTATTCACAGGACACTTACTGAGTACCTACTCTGTGTCAGACACTGTCCTGTGCTTGGCCTGTACTATCTCACTTAATCCTTACACCCTAGGCTGCGGATGCCAGTGATGGTGGTGATCATTTATTGAGTGCCTCCCATGTGTCAGGGGCTTTGCATATGTTATTTAATCTTTATATATCACATCAGTTTCTTGGGCTCTTAGTGCCCCACATTTTACTAATGAGGAAGTTGAGGTTCATAGAGGTTAAGTCCTTTGTCTGAATTCATGGAGCTGAGGGAATGGAATCATTTGGAACTCAAACCCAAGCATCTTTGACTCCAAAACTGTACTCTAGACTCATGCATTGTGGTGCTTGCAATCTTATAAAGGAAAACCTGGAGCACTGGGTGTTGTAGGGAAGCCAATTTGACAATAAATTATATTAAAAAAATAAAATGAAATAAAAAGAAGGGAAAAAAATAAAAAGGAAAACCCGGAAGCTGTGCAGATAAGACCATAAAACTTAGGAGTTGTAAATCTGGGCTTGAATCACTGCTATCATTTACCAGTTGGCAATAAATCTTTTTTTCCTTTCCTTACAGTGAGAATAATCTAGCGAGGCTTATGGTGAAGGAAAAATGAGACAATGAATGTAAAAATTCCCCAAACTCTGAATTGCACCAAAAAAACTTTTTTTTTTTTTGCACCGAAAATTATAATAACTACCATACAGTGAGTGTTTATTATGTGTGGGCACAGCGTGGAACCAATTGATACGAATGTCTTTTTCTAAATAAGAATTCAATAAATGAATATTGTTGTCTCTGTTTGATACATTGAGGAAACTGAGGCTCAAAGAAGTTAATTACCCCAAATCACATAGCTAGTAAATTGTAGAGCTGGTATTTTCACCCAGCTGTCTCTGGCGGGTGCTCTTAACTAACACATGATATTACTACCTGTAGAGTAGTAGGATTTCCTCCTTTAATTCCTAGTATCATCCTTCAGGGCTCCGTCAGTAGGGCTGCGTGACCTTGGAGAAGTCAGTTGAGTACCAAAAGACGTAATGGAATGTCTTTGGACCTCAGTTTCTGAATTCATCTGCGTGTAACCTGCAGGAGCAGGTTGGACAAGAACACATGTTCTTAAATGTATTGTGGTCACTACCCTGAGAACCTAAGGAAAGTCGTGGCTCTGCTTCCCACAAAAACGTACACATACACACACTATGACACAGAGTTTGTGGGCTTGTGGCCCGGCTCTCTTCCCATCCTCTTTCACAGACTCCGGGCTGGGAACTTCTGGGCTAGACGTTTTCTAAAGTCCTTCCTGGCTCTGAGGGTTTATTGAAGTTTTAGTCAGAAATCAGGGCACCTGGGTGGCTCAGTGGGTTTACGTGTCTGCCTTCAGCTCAGGTCATGATCTCACGGTTTGTGAGTTCGAGCCCCGCGTCTGGGTCCGTGCTGACAGCTCAGAGCCTGGGGCCTGCTTCGGGTTCTGTGTCTCCCTTTCTCTCTGCCCCTCCCCTGCTTGCACTCTGTCTCTCTCTGTCTCAAAAATAAATAAACATTAAAAAAATTAAACTAAAAGGCAGGAGACCCAGACTTCACAGATTCTGCCTGGTGTTAGGGACCTTTCCCACTGGGTTCCGTCTTGCATCATTTTATCTACTGGACTATAGTTACAGATTTACTTGCCTATCTTCCCAGTGGGTATGAATTCCTTGAAGGTAACGTCTTTTTTGGCTTTGTATTTCCGTTGCAATGTCTGAACATAGTAGGCCCTTAATAAATCTGGATAAATGACCGGATGAATGCCAGAGGTGAGAGGGAATCTAGGAGAAACAGTTTGGACGCTGGGTTTGGCTAGGTCAGCAATAACCTTACCCTACTGGGTGGTTTACTGGCTCCGTGGTTCTCAGAATCTTAGCATCAGAATCACCTGGAGGACAGGTTAAAACAGATTGCTGGGCCCCACCTACAATTCAGGAGGTTGAGGTGGCCCTGATGATTTGCATTTCAAAGTTCTGCAGAGTGCTGCTATTACTTCTGGGACCATAGTTTGAGAACCACGAGAGCAGCCTTCATAGCTTCCTTACTGCTGCTAGAGTTCACAAGGTCGTATGGTAGGAGAAAGGAAGATTCCATTTAATGCTGAAACTACATCCCTCTTATATCGTTAGGTTTCATCATATTCTTTCTCTTTTGAGAATCATGACATCCTCTTTTTGTCCTTACAGTACGCTTCTCTGAGATCTACTTCCTGGCTCTGGCCATTGGCTCTGCCTGTGCCCTGATGGTCATAATAGTAATCGTGGTGGTCCTCGTCCAGCATTTCCGGAAAAAGCGATGGGCCGAAAGAGCTCATAAAGTGGTGGAGATAAAATCGTAAGGCTGGGCAGTTCTGGGCAGTCTTCGTCTAACACTCTTCTATCGTGACTTTTGGTATTTTACACTTGGGCAAAATGATTGTTGAACAGATGTTTTTCCCTCCGAGTAAATCTTATAAAAGAATTCAGATTCACAGGATGGAGAAAGTAGGGTGTGATCTGGTAACTTCACAAAAGCTTTCTTAATTGTATAGAAGATTTCATTAGAGGCTTTCTTTATTATGGAGGACTTGATATTGTCAAAATCTGCTTCTGTGAAGCTTTTCTAGGATATTCCTTACTTAAAAAAATTTTTTTTAACCTTTATTCATTTTTGAGAGACAGAGCACAAGCAAGGGAGGGGCAGAGGGAGAGGGAGACACAGAATCTGAAGCAGGCTCCAGGCTCTGAGCTGTCAGCACAGAGCCTGACGCGGGGCTCAAACTCACAGACTGTGAGATCATGAGCAGAGCCGAAGTCAGACGCTTAACCGACTGAGCCGCCCAGGCGCCCCTGCTATTCCTTACTTTTTAATGTAAAGTGTATATTTGTAAAATCTGCTGGGCAGGCAGCAGGGGCATCGTGAGTCAGTGCCTAGGAGAGTCAGCCATGCTGATATAAGGTGCTCAAAAAATATATATTTTTGAGATGAAATTTACCTATCATAAAAATTTGTCTTTTTAATGTTCACCAAGTTACATAACCATCACCACTAATTCCCAGAATTTTCATCACCCCCGAAGGAACTTCATATGTTTTAGCCATCACTATTTATTTTCCACTTCCACCTGCCCCTGACAACTACTGATCTGCTTTCTGTCTCCATGGATTTGCCTGTTGTTCGAAGGCAAGGAGAACGTAAAGTGCCCCCCCCCCCCCCCC